AACTGGGCATTGAACTCAGGCCCTTGCACTTTCCAGGCAAGCTCTTATTCTACTGAGCCATCTCCCTGGCCCCAAAGTGACCATTTCTTAAGTGGGAAATATAGGTCAGAAATCTGTAAAACTAAAATAATAATAATCATCTCATTTATTCATTGGTAAATAGTTACTAAGCAGTAGGCACTATTCTAGCCATTGGACACGAACAACTCTGAACAAAATGGTCAGCCATACGTACCTTTTAGGAGCTCACAGTTTGGTCTGGAAAAACTCAGCTTATGCAAATATATGGCATATGTAGCATGTTAGTTCCATATAAGTACATTGGAGAAAAAGCAATACCAAGATATTAGTAAGTGCAGGAAGCATAGCCTTGTAAATGCCCAAGGTGAGAACCCTTGTGCTGAGTTTCATAGTAAAAGGTTGAATCTGAAGACTTAAGTGTATTATTTTATTTCATTGAAAGCAGGGATCAGGGATTTTGTTCTTTCTTTTTTTTCTTTGGTGGAACCAGGGATTGAACTCAGGCCCTTGCGCTTGCCAGGGAAGCGCTTATCCTACTGAGCCATCTCCCTGGACTCTTTTCCTTTTTGATCCCTGATTAATATAATGGTCTAAATATGCAGTGACAATTCTTTTCAACATTTATTCATTGAGCTCGAATCATTTGCATGCCACACTATGTTAAGTGGTTGGTGAAATAGTGATCTTCAGCACAATATAAAGGAGTAATAAGAGAGCTGTCTGATTTATCTGACCCACATTTAGCATGGAAAGGACATGCAGGCACTGTGAGACTCAAGCTTGAGTTATGAGATTGTTTATTTTCAATGACAAGTCAAATCATAAAATCAATTTTTAATCTCCAATTCAAAGCTGCTCTTTCATCTAGGACCAAAATGTTTCTTCATAAATATGCTTCCAACTACTGCTTTGAAAATCATTTACTCAAACGATATTGTCCTTATCTAGTAAAACTTAGGTAGAATACAGAGTTTATATTTAACAATAGTTAAATGACTTTACAATTTATGGATCAACAGATGTGTTTTCCCCACCTGTTTTGGGATTTTGTCTAGGTAGCTAAGGTACCACAGAGGTGAGAACAAAGATACCAGTCATGGTAATGTAAACTTCTATTCTGAAACAAAGAGGCCCATTTGAACAAAACCCTGTTGAGAATTAACACTTAGTCCTAAGTAAATCATCTCCTGGGGATGGGGAGATGGCTCAGTAGACTAAGTGCTTGCCTGGCAAGTGCAAGGACTTGAGTTCAATCCCCAGTTCTGCTAAATCAATCAATCAATCAATCATCTACTTAGCATTTTATCTTGCTGTTTATTCCTTTTGTTTATAAAATACCCTTTGTTATTTCTATGCTCTAAGTGAATAAATTTCAGCTACTTGCTTGTGGAAAAGTGTAGAAAATACGCTTAAATTCTTATACTCCATTTAATAGTTCCATGGATTTAATTTTGCATGTGTATGTAATAAACTGATCTTACTTTTATTCTCATAAAACATTTTCATCCTTTGTGTCAGTGTCACTACATCCTTAATGATGGAAGGTGCCTGGGAGGGATCTAAGAATCCTTTAGCAATGCTGATGCCAGGAGTGAGTACGAGAAGTAGAGTATGTGGCTCTAGCTCTGTGTAGTATCAGTTACTACTGTCAAGTTAAAAAGATCAGACATCATCTGTAGAATATGGTTCCCTCCTAACAAAAACACTGATTCCAAACTAACTTGCTTTCTTATTTCTATTCAACAAAAGCCATATTGATCAACATAATGTACTTTGAAATTGTCATGTGACTTTTTGAACTTTTATTACAAAGAATTCCAATGAACTCATGTTAAAATAACTAAAAGGTCTAAATTATTAGGCTCAAACTCAGTTTTTGATCCTGTATTGTCCCTTCCTCAGGATGTTCCTGAGGAAGTCACTTACTGATGGACACATTGAGCTTTGATTTCCAGTATGTATCCTAGGTGTGCTTGTTTTTATAAAATGGCACATAACAATTTGAAATCTTATTCAATTGACATAGGGATGATTGCTTTAAAATTATAGCTCTCATTGTGTTAAAATGTATTTCTATAACAGCAATGCCTTGCACTTGAATTTGTTTCATTTTTAGTTTTCCATTTATATAAAAATATTAATCTTTTGTGGTGGTTATTTGAAAAAGACAACAGTCTTCTCCACTTTTTCCCTCATTTACACATGTCAAAATTGTTGACTAGATGGAACACTTAACTGAAACTTAATTCCTGGGAATTAAGTCAAATTCCACATTAACTTATAGGTCTAAAAATTTTTTTAAAATGTGAAGGATGAACATTGTTTATTATACAGAGGTCATCTGCTTCAACTTTTTATTATCAATTCTAGCATCAGGAAAGCATATAGTACCAATGATATGATCTTATATTCTTCTGGATATAGCTGTCTTTAGTCTGAGCTCATTCAACTTTTTTTTTTAAATCTAGTTCTAGCTTTATGTAAGACTCTGTGCCAAGTGTAGTAGGATTTCAAAGTTATAAAAATTAACTCTGACCTTGAGAAGTGTACATTTTAAGTAGAGAAGCATAGGAATAGAGAATATTTGCATCCTTACATGTGAGAATATCACAGTCCTTACATATCCGGGCAGTAAATAAGGCTATCTAGGCAGGGCTATTCAAGAAGTGTGAGCTATGTGTTAGCAAAGTGCATCAGAGAAATTACACTCAGCTGGATTGATGTGACAAAGCATTGAGTCAGAGTTGGCAAGCTTGGAAATGCTGGAAGTTGAAGAAGTTTTATAGGTGAAAATGTCAGCAAGAAGAAGAGAAAGGAAAGAAATCTGGCAGGTAGACACTTACGCATAAATAAGAACAAAGGGAAAAATAGGGGAAGATCGAATGGAAACATAAAACCAGATGAAAGGCGTTTAATA